TTCATATGTTACTAGGGTCATAAAGTGTGTACAAGTCTTTACTTGGCACCAAACGCTCAACCGACACTTCCACCTGGTCTACTCGCTTCAAGTGAGTTCATACCCCTTAATTAACCTTTTTAAATGTTTTTACATGTTTTAGGGGGGGGGGGATACAAGTAAATGCAACAAATTATAGTTACTAATCATATGTGATTTATAACATACAACCAAAAAGGATTTTCTATACTTTTAGCTATTTGTCAATAAAACTGTTTTAAATATTCATCAAACGCATTTTTCGAAACTAAATTGTGGTTAAACTACTTTCAAGTTGTATTTAAATTACTCTTCTTTTAAACTATATCGGCATCAATATATTTATATAAACAAGACTTGAAGGACTTAGGACCGATAGCTCACCTTATTTCCTGTTCTTGTTTGATTGTGGTCTTTGGGTGTATTGTTATCCGTCCGAATGTCATTGATTTCTTATTTATATATCATATATATTGTGTTAGATATAAAAATCTTCATCATATATAATACCTTTGCATATTAAAGGCATCTGACTCTACACTCTATATAACTATAATAGGTATAGTTAATACTACTGGTCGTCACCTCTATCACTATGATATCCACTATAATTACTACCAACACAAGTTAAAAATACATTTAAGAAAACACTCACTATACTATACTTTAAGTTACTATACTATAATACAAGAGAATGTATTGATCCAGAATACAACACACTAATCCTCTATACGACACTCTTCTACGCAAATACCATGTAACCAGGGCTTTCTGAAAGGAAAGCAACACTACATGTATAGATCTATACAGGAAGGACGCTATTACATCCCGACTGTTATTTACAGTCCGAGTCGACTAGGCCCAGGGATGGCACTACATCACTACACTGCGGATGACCGGGAAGGTCATCGGACCCTTTATAATCACTCAGTTTAGTTACATGAGAAAATAATATCCATATCCAAATTAAAACACTAAGAATTAAAGTCTAAGTAAATTCCCGAAGTAAATAAACATACATTGAAGTTGCAACACTATTACAGTAAATCAACAATACTTTTACTCAGTCACGCTACTTGTATGAAACATACTACCTTATTTTAGCACTGATGGTCTCAATGAAAATACTTTTACACACTCAGTAGATCATGTAAATGTAATCATGTAAATGTACTCATGTAAATGTAATCATGTAAATTACTGTAATGTTATGCGTGTGCTAGCTGTAACGTGTGTTCTCTCTCTATCTAGCAAGTATTGACTCATGACTGAACTGACTCATTGTATGATATCGTGTTCTATAATAGTTCTAGTATCTTCCTAAAGTACCCCTATGGTAGTTTACTAGTAATCTAACTGGTACGTATGAACATGGATGTATACCCTTGCTACCCAAGGGTATTGAATGAACTGGAAGAACCTTTATGACTATATATGTACACATGATATATAACTAATATATAAACGACCTTCGGACGGGTACCCGATATCCCACCAGACCACATCTCAAGAGCGAAAAGGAAATAGGGTGGATAGCCTTCCTAAGTCTTTTAAACATTTCTTATATAACTATACATATATAGGCATGCAATTGATAATATAAAAGCATAAAATAAGTTTGGTAAAACCTTTGAACATAATTATTATCTAAGAAACGATCAACTTGATGTCAATATATAAAACGGTTTGAAAGCGTGGGTTTGATAAAACAATTTAAGTATAAAAGAACATTTGTTTGAAACACAATAATAAATGAGTTTGAAATGAAGCGTACAGAGTAAAGTGTACAACTTATCAAGGAGTTTTAATCATATAAAATGTTTATGAAAATCATTTGAAGGAAACTGTTTGGTAAAATGGCTAATGAGTAGCCAATCATTTGAATGCTGCTTACTAATCACATGTGATTGATATAGTAACTAGCATAATTCTACTTGTATCCCCCCATAAAACATTTAAAAATAGTTAAAACATTGATTAAGGGGTATGAACTCACCTGCAGTAAGTGATTGGAATTGAACGGAAGGTTATCGTAAGGAATGATCGGACAAGTGCTTGATGTCAAGTGAAGACTTTAGACACACAAATGATCCTAATTACATATGAAGACATATACATATAAATAATTAGTGATTAAAACACTAATTATACAAGTATAAGCATTTTAATGCGAGGAAAACGCTTTTGGTCAAGTGTTAGGAGGGAAATGGGTTGCAACAAAGGAGTGCAAGACCTCTAATGGGGGTTTATGGTCAAATGACCATATGATTTGGAGTTTACGGCCCAGGGGAGTAAACTCCTGGCCGTAAACTCACAATAAGGTCTCTAAATGAAGCTTATAATTAACACAACTCTAGTGGTGAATTGTTCCAAGGCTTAAACAATTGATTGGGCTTCCTATTGACTCCATTGAGGAGTTCACAGCCTTGGGACCATAGCCCATGGAGATTACGGCCATAGTCACACTTGGGGAAAGGTTTATGGTGCTTTCAAGTCCCTAAATTATCAAGGAATGCATTAAGGAAATTGTCCAAGGCTTTAGGAGGATTTATGGCACCATTTGGCACCATTTATTGGAGTTCACGGCCCTAGAACATCTTGGGCCGTGAACACCCTTTTCTTGGTGTTTTAATGGTGTTTGCTAGCCCCAAACACACTAGGGTACTTGTCCTAATTTGTCTCTTGGCTTAAGGAAGGTTTTTAAGGCATTTTGACACCTAAACATGGAGTTCACGGCCCTGGAACATCCTTGGCCGTGAACTCACTTTCATCCTTGATTTTAATTGATTTTGGTGTCCTAAACATGCAATGGTGGGTTCTAGTTCGAGTTCCAAGGCTTTGAGGGACATTGGGACACTTTTATCCCTTAAAATGGAGTTTACTCCCAAAGTCTTCTTGGGCGGTAAACTCCCAAATCTTGGGGTTTTGGTCCGATTTTGATGTTATAATACACAATCTAAGCTATATAATATAACTAGATCGAAGTAATCACGATTTGGGATAAAAAACCGAAGATCCGTGAGAGAGAATTTTGACTTTTCTCTAAATGGAAATGTAACTAATGAATGAATATGGTTTAGTTTTCTATATATAGTCCTGGGATTTTTGGCAGAAAATATTTTTATTCTCGGAATGAACTCTAATATCATAGAGTATCAAAATAACAGTGTTGCACGAAACCCTGGTGCATCCACTCTCCTGATATTTCCTTAAGTGTAAATCCTGAACAACTACCAAACTTATACTCGAAGTCTGGAATTTCACTGTAACTGTTCTAACTTCTATTGGATTGATATGGTTTGTTCAGAATGGAAATTTTGAGTTGTCACATTTCACATCTTCATAAAAAGCGTTATTTTAACTAGTGCTTGTTCTAACTTCTATAGCTCATTTCCATGTGCATCACTTGTGGTGCTTCTGAAGTCATGGCATAAGCATAGTCATTGCCTGCGATTTACACATAATAGTTCTACTCGGTAAAATTTGTGCCTTTAAAAGTGTAGGTGACAACTAATCACGTTAGCTTTCTTCACACGAGCTAAGGGAAATTGTCATAAAAGCCCTTAAGTTTTCCAAAAAGTTACGGTTTTACCCTTGGATGAGTTTTGGGGTCATTAAAGTCGGATACTTTCATTAAACCTATCAAATATCTCATTTAACAAGTTGGGCCCTTTGTAGCCGGTTACCATGTGCTGATTTGGCACTTAATTGACATGTCAAACAACGTGGGCCCCAACCCTCTCCCCACCCCCTGTTTCTTGCATCCTCTCGCACCATGAAAAATGCCAACATCTTCTGCAAAATCAAGCTCGAATTCACATTCACGATTCAAGAAGAAGATCGAAGTGAAGTGTTGGTGTGAAGATTTATGCCCTGTGTTTGTTTCACGCACACCAGGAAATCCATGCAAGAAATTTTGGGGGTGCCCTAATTATAAGGTAAAAATCATTTTCCCTTTTCTTTAGCAGGATTGCAGTAACGGTATTATACACTAACCTAATTATGTAATGAGAAGGAGGTTGTGGGTTTTTCAGATGGGTTGATGATGAAGGAATTCAAAAGCAAGACATGATGCTAGAGTCAAATCGCATTATAGAGCAGCGACAAATGATGGCATTAATGCATATGGTTGTTGTTTTGTTAGGGGCTATATTGTTCATCCTTGTTCTAGTGTTATGCAAGATTTAATGGCAATAAAGGGTATTTTCTGAAGGGAGCAGTAAAGGGTGGATTTTTTTAAGGGAGCAGTATTGTGATCTTGAAATATGTAGCTTTTGAGCTTTTGATGGTATTTGATAGTTTGCTAGGTATATTTAATTTCTAATGTATGGATGTTAACTAGAATTCATGTTGGTTTCCAATGTATGGATGTTAATTTATAATGTATGGATGTTAACAGGAGTATAAGTTGGTTTGTTTTGTAAGTATATTGAATTAACAATTGGTAATTGGTATAAATTTCTGAATGGTAACAATTGGTGAATGGTAACATTTGGTTTGTTTTGTTTTAGATTGAATTAAAATGGTAATGGGTATAAATTTGTAGTAAAAGTTGTTGAGTGGTAACATTTGGTGAATGGTAACAAGTGTTTTGGTGAATGGTAACAATTCTAAAAGATTGAACAATTGGTGTGTATTTGCAAGTCTGAATGGTAACAATTGGTGTGTATTTGCAAGTTTGAATAACGTTGCATAAAATGGTATATTGCAGAAATAATTAGTGAATGGTAGCAATTCTAAAAGATTGAACATAATATAGAAGCGGGTGTATCCATTACATATAGTTTAATTACATACTACCAATATGTAGCAGCCATCCATTTGTACCAAAATGCCTAAACAATGCACAAAAAAGTCAACCTAAATGGTAAGAAAATAAACAATTGGATGCATGCTACAATCAAAATGCCAAAAAACAATGTTTACAAAAGTGGCAATCTATACCATTCCCCTTACACCCCCATCCCCCTCTTGCTAACAAACTACTCCAAGTTGATTGGCTTTACAGAAGAAGTACCATCACCATATTTGTCATAGACACCCTTCCTTAGCTTTATCTTGGTAATCCTCTCAGAATTTTTCCTTGTTCTCCTCCTAACCTTTAGGACAACCTGATGTCGTTCATCATCACCCTGGTTTTCCTCAACATCGTCAACATCTCCACCACCATGACCTTCTTCATCACCATCACCTTTAGGCCCATCACCATCATCAACATCTCCACCACTAGGACCTTCTTCATCACCATCACTAGCAGCTTCATATCAAGCACCTTGATCAGGTCCAAAATCCAAACCAACATCATCATCCAAACCACCATCACCAGCAGCTTCATCTCTAGCACCTTCAGCTCCACCATCCAGAACAACATCATCATCAGAATGATGACCATCAATGAAATCATTTACATCCTAGAGTAAAAAGATATAATTAGGTCACAAGAATCACCAGAAAAATTGTTAATTAATAAAAGATAAGAGGTCTTACCAGTTCAACTGGTGGGGAATCATCCAATTTCACTTGTACCCCTGGCATAGCTTCTATTTCTGCCATGCTATAACCAACATCTAGCAGACTAGCAATTTCTTCAGGTCCTAATTGTATCTTCTCTGTGAGAATATCGTCCTCTTTTCCCTCAGTAAACTCAATAAACTGATTATCTTCCACCTTATTGTCACCATTTAGTGGACTGGACTTTTTTTTTGTTTGTGAAGTTAACAACTTCTAAAATTGCATCAATACCTTGTTCAATTTCATCATTTATTGATTTAAGCTTCCTACCAATACTGGATCCTACTTGGCCGAAAGTGTCACTACCTACCATCACACTTGCTTAACTACTTTCTCCTTCTTGCATCATATGACCATATCGAATATGAATTACTGGAACTTCCTGCACAAAACCTTCTTCCTGCACCACACCTTCTTCTACAACTGGAATTTGTTGAACCACACTCTTTTGAGTACCTATAGTTGCCAAACCAATCCTCCCACCACCTCTTCTTGTGCACAACTTCTTCCTTGGTACATCAATACTATTTCTCCTTAATCTTTTAGAACCTGCCTGTTGCTGATGTTTTCTGGGAATCATCCTCAATGTGCTATGTTTTCTACTCCTCCTCACTGTGTTAGAGCATGAAGGTTGACTTGGGATATTTGGTTGACCAGGGCTTGTAGACACGTGGGGGATGGGATGTTTTCTTGGCCTTCCTGTCTTCTTTGGTGGGGGAGGCACATATTGTTTTCTTGTATTCTTACATTCCCTCTTGTTATGACCATATTCCAAACAATTACCACATCTGGTAGTTCTTGCAACCTACCAGGCTTCCTCCTAGACATTGGAGGCAATGGCTTAATTTATTTAGTTTGGGCCGGAAGATTGCTGCCATTAACAGGTTCAATGGTTGTTGAGTAACATTGCCTAAATTTCTCTTTAGGGAAGTATGCATTGATGTATGCATCTGGTGTTTGATGGATAAAATTAATTGCTGCATTTGCATGCACACAAGGGATGCCAATTAAATCCTACATCCTACATGATATAAATCCGTATCTCTTCAAGCATAGTGATCAAAGGTTTTTTCCTAGCATCCAATATTATTGAGTTGAAGCACTCTAAGATCCCATTCTCAACTGCTTCACATGTATAGCCTGTTCCAAAATAGGCTCTACACCATGTTTATGGTTGCTTTGACATCAAGTATTCATATGCAGAAGGGTTCAATTTCTTGATTCTTTCCATATTCATCTTGATGTCACCTTCTGTGCAACTCATAGAGTCAGCCCAAAACAACTTCTTATACTCCACACCTGTGAAAGCCTTTCTAAAGTTGGCATAAATGTGCCTAGCACAATTCCTGTGTTCAACATGAGGCAGAATATCTTTCAAAAATTCAAGCAGACCCTACCAGACAACCATTTAATTAGTTTAATAGAGGACAAATATGTAATAAGATAATTATGCAATTAAGTAGAGGACAAGTTTGTTAAATTTTACCTTGTGTTGATCTGATATCACTACCAAACCTCATCCACTATCAAGATCTAAATCAGCCCTTAGAAGCTCAAGGAACCATGTCCAGTTAGCCTTATTCTCAACATCGACAACAACCCAAGCAATTGGGTAGACCTGATTATTTGCATCTCTACCTATGGTTGTCAACAACTCACCCTTTACTGCTCCCTTCAAAAAGCACCCATCCAAACTAATAACCCATCTACACCCTCTTTTCCAGCCTTCACATATAGCTTTGAAACCAATATAAAACCTATGAAATACTTTATCCCTTCTAGATTGACAGTTACACACACCTTACATGTAGAACCTGGATTGGATCTTAACAAGTCTTGTGCATAATCCCATATTCTGGCATAATGTTCAGTCAATTTACCTTCAATTAGCTCCTTGGCCCAATGCTTTTCCCTACGACATTGGCCTATAGACACAACACACCTAAAGCTTTGTCTGATCTTAGTAATCATCTCTTTAAGCTTCACCTTAGGTTTATTTCCAATTTTAGTTATGTAGTGTCTACCTATCCATTCAGGAGTAACCATAGAGCCAAGTTTGAACTTCCTACCACAAATATGAGTAGCTTCTAAAGTCTTGATTTGAATAGATCTTTCATTGAACATCCATGAGACATATAGTCTAAAAGGAAAACAATTATCCTCATTTATTTTCCTACATCTTACAAGTATTCTTGTACTGTCACACTTCTTAAATTACAGTTGATACCCATTGTGGACTATGTTGTTTTGGATACAAAACTTCAGTTGTGTAACAATCTCAAAAATGTCACCAAGTTTTGGTTCTATTTTATCCCATCTTATTTTTGGATCATGTAATCTGTACTTATTTATCACCTGTTCTTGCTCTTCTTCCTCTTGATCACTTTGCAAGTCACCACGATGATACACTTGTGCTCTTACATCATTAGTCAAACTAGAGTTTCTAATATTTTCATCAGTTAGTAACACATTAAGAAATGCATCCTTACACTTGTTCAGTGGAGTAATGAACTCTTCGTCTGGTTCATGATCCATGTAGATGCCATGAAGCTCAAAATCCATCTCATTAAGACCAGAGAAAGGCTCGCGTAAACCAAAAAATGGGTATGTGTTACCTTCGTGTTCTGAATCCCAATCTATCATAACAACCTGAAAAAAACATAAACACATATTGTCATTATTCGTTCACCTTTGAAGAACAAAGAACTGTAATAACACAATCTTCAAAGAAATTAAACATACCATGTGAAATTGACTCTCCAATAACCTAATCTTCTTAAAAAACCATAAGCCCTAATTTTGCAATGAATAATGTCGACTTTCTGAAGGATTAGGAGAAAGTGAACTTATATGTGCAAAAGGGTGAGATTAGATGGTGGGTAAACAGACGTAACGGAGTAACGTCCATGCCAACATGTGAATTAAGTGCCAAATCAGCACATGGTAACTAGCTACAAAGGGTCCAACTTGTTAAATGAGATATTTGATAGGTTTAATGAAAGTATCCGGCTTTAATGACCCCAAAACTCATCTAAGGGTAAAACCATCACTTTTTGGAAAACTTAAGGGCTTTTATGACAATTTCCCCATGAGCTAACATGAAATATTGATTTAGTATTTTTGCTAATGGGATTCATTCCTAAAATCCATTCAATGTCACAGAAGAATCTAGGTTGACGTCACTATTACTTCCATGTTTGTTGCTTAAAAAATATACCTTGTCCTAAGTCATTATTCCTGTTGACTTTGTAAGTGACCAAGATGTTAAATAGTAGTTGCTCGATTCATTATCTCGATCGTAGTTGCAGCAAGCGATTGTGCTGGTGTTGGACGATCACCAACTAGTCTCTTGTGAGACATCTTTTTCTCACTACAATTAGTTCAAGGGGAAATGATTTGCATGAAAAGTTCGACGTTGATATAAACGATGATGCTAAAATTATGTCAAACATGTAGAATTGTCGTGGGTTTACCAAAGATTGACTCTACTATGAGTCTGCTATATTATTTTGATTCTTTTGAATCGAGATTTTTTGGAACCATGCAAGATTTCTAACAACTTTATGGTTTCGTGATTTCATGGAGTCTGTTATATTCTCCTTCAAAAATGTCATAAAATACGAAGAATACATGTAGGTGTTCTTCTTTTTATCTTAGATGGTTCAATTATAAGTCGAACGACTCATAACAAAATAAAATGGACTAATAACTTACCTAAGCCGAATTCAAAATGATTTGCGAAGGTGTGTATATCTTGCAAGGTATTCCTAAGAGGTCTAACAGATGCATTTGTATGATATCATAGTTGAGTAATTTGTATTTTGAGATAAACTTCAGACATGATTCACGTTTATGATACTTATAGTTTCATGAGTATTTAAGGTAAATATTTTTCAAATATTCATAAGTGTTCATTAGACCTTTGAGGGTTCTTATGCGTTTTGAACTGTGATTCTCTTTAAATATTATGGATCCCAAGTGTTTTATTCTACCAATCCAAGCTTGATTGTGCATCAGTCCAACAAAAATTAAACAGAGGTGATCAGTCTACGTCTAGTTGTGGTTCGGCCCACATACAATCAAGTTAGCTAAGGTGTTTGACCTAAAACCTTTCATTGTATTGGCATTCGAGGGTTCGAGTTCATGTATGTTAATATGTATAACCACATATTTGTAGGTTAAGGAATATACCTAACCTAAGAGAGTAAGCCCTGGGCTATAGTCGCGCTTTCCTAAGAAAGTACATGTTCACTATAGCCAATAGCTCTGATACCAATCTGTCACACCTTCGGCCGCCGACGAAAACGCTGAAGTGCGCGACATAAATCAGTAATCACAGTTATCAAACATACATTGAAAAATGCATTAAAATACGTCAACAAAATTGTTGGTGGGTTCTATAGGTTTTGACACAATATATTTTTATAACCAAAAATGTTTTATAAAATTTAGCTGGTTGACCAACTTTTATAAATATTTAGTTTTCTGTCAAAAGTATAAAATAATTGAGTTGTAAAAATGTGTGGGACTCGTTCAAAAGTACCATTTGTTCAAACCAAATGTACAAAAGTTGGAAAAATACATATCAGTAAGTCAAAACTTATATCAAAATTTATACGGTTCCCATGACCAAAATTCTTTTTATTAAAGGATTTTGAGTGCCAATTTATATAAAATAAATTTATATCCCATCTTGTGAAAACATAAAATGGCTGACTTACTATAGACATATTGTACAAATGCTTGTGGGTTATTGCTTAACATGGTGTCATGGTATCACCCATATATGACCTACTGGTCATTGGTCAACATGGTAGTTTCTTATGTCCATGGATGACATATGGGTCAGTGGTCAACATGGTAGTTGCTTATCGTGTCCATGGATGACATATGGGTCATTGGTCAGCATGTAGTTGCTTATGGTGTCTATGGATGACATATGGCCCATTGGTCAACATGTGGTTTCTTATGGTGTCCATGGATGACATATGGGGCACTGGCCAACCTGGTGTATTTGCTTATGTTTTCCATGGATGATATATAGGTCATTGGTCAACATGTATTTTCTTATGGTGTCCATGGATAACATATGGGTCATTGGTCAACATGGTATTTGCTTATGGAGTCCATGGATGACATATGCATCATTGGTTAACATGGTAGTTGCTTATGGTGTGATGGTATCACCCATGGATGACATATGGGTCATTGGTCAATATGTAGTTGCTTATGGTGTCCATGGATGACATGTGGGTCATTGGTCAACGTGGAGTTGCTTATGGTTTCCATGGATGACATATGAGTCATTGGTCAACATGTAGTTGCTTATGGTGTCCATGGATGACATATGGGTCATTGGTAAACATGGTAGTTTCTTATGGTGTCATGGTATCACCCATAGATAACATATGGGTCATTGGTTAATTGGTAGTTGCTTATGGTGTCCATAGATGACATTTGGATCATTGGTCAACATGGTGTAGTTGGTTATGGTGTTCATGGATTACATATGGGTCATTGGTCAACATGTAGTTGCTTATGGTGTCCACGGATGACATATGGGTCATTAATCAACATGTAGTTGCTTACGGTGTCCATGGATGACATATTGGTCATTGGTCAACATGGTGTAGTTGCTTATGGTGTCCATGGATGACATATGGATCATTGGTCAACATGGTACTTGCTTATGGTGTGATGGTATCACCCATAGATGACATATGGGTTGTAATATTAATGAACATAATATTATGGTTATACAATTTGAAGAAACGGAAATTACTTTAGTTTAGCTGGAAAATGCGTCTTACTTCTTACCCGAAGTCGCAGGTTCGAATCCTACTTATGTCAATAATTTCACTTAAATTCGTCTCTTTAAATTTAAACAATAATTTTATTTAACCTTTTATTTTTAAATTTAAACTGTCAATTTATTTACAAAAATACCCGTAGGTGTTGACAAAAACACCTTAACCATTTACGTAGTAACCTTTGTACGTTTATGGGAAATTATGTGAATTCATAGTCTAAACACTTAGGTGACATAAATTGGAGTCAGAGTCATCCCCTTGTTTCAGTTTATCAGTGATACATTAACTACAATCGATTCCCAACAATCAAAATTATGGCACATTGATCAAGAATGGCAGTTAGTTGTTCATCAAAAAGAATGCAAACAAGAAAACAAGGAACAAGGATCACTGCTTTTCCATCGTACTTGATCGAAAAAATAGTATATTAACTACGGCTGGGGTAATTCACCAATCGATGCTTTTAAGTTCTAGTTAGTGTAAGTCTGATGTGCATTACTTCTATTATACTTGTATACATTCTTACTTTAGTGTTTAATGGATGAAGTTTGTTGATTTGTAAATTATAGTTGCAAGCTCTTTAGGGATTTTGTAACATCAGACGCAATATATAAATCCATAGACACAAATCTATTAAGGTTTCGTCCATTAAGTGTTCATATGTATGAAGTGATAAGCAAATGCAGAAAGTTGAACAACCCACACGTATTCTTCAATGATGGAATGGTACTCTTTTTATAAGCACACAGATAATTACAAAATCAATTAGTTTTCTATATTTGTATTTTTGAAATTCTTTGATTACTTATTGTGCATCAGACGAACTATTTTACGATAGAGGAAGAAATAGCAGGGAAACAGTTGCTTCAAGATGCAACTGATCAGGGGTAGTTGGATGCGATCCTTGTTATGGGAAAGATGTTGATGGCCGAAGGCATTGAAAGGAAGTAAGAAGCTCTGATCATGTTAAATAATTCCTACGTTATTACTATAAGAAGTTGGAATCTAAAACATACCTGTAACAAGGTTCAAAACCACTTGGTAAGGAGAACAAAGCAAATAAAATTACATGGCTTACATAGAAGTTGTGCAAAGCATCCTTCTATGAGCAGTTATGGAAGAGCTTTTATGTATCACTACAGTTGGTTGTTGAATTGTGATATTTGTTTGTGTGATGCATGTTTGGTTAAGTTTTCTAGGATGTTTGACATTAGTTTCGAGTAGTTATATATATATATATATATATATATATATATATATATATATATATATATATGATTGTGTTAGATTCACACAATTAGTGATGCATATTGTATTTGTATTTTGGTGTAATAGGAATACATACTTTTAATTTTATTAAATGTATATATATATATATATATATATATATATATATATATATATATATATATATATATATGTTATTTTTTTCTTTTTCATTTTACTAACCAAATGTCCACTATGACCTATAATTGGTTATAATGTTTGAATAATGTGTTTTGACTGAAATACCCTAAGTAATCAAATATTTAGATTGATTTCAAGGGCACGTTGGTATATTTGCATTCTCTAAGGTGAAGGTGCCATTTATGCTATGGAAATCAAAATAAGTGTATGATCAAGTCGCTATTAAGGAAAATATTGTGTATATAGAATTTATATTTTAATTAGCTTTATACCTATATTTATTATGAATGTTATTTAAATTTATAATTACCCGTTTACTACATGGGTTTTAACCTAGTATTGAATAATATCGACCCAATAATTTGAACTAGTATACATCCAACACATCGAAATCAAGGGTTGTCGAAGGTTCCCTAATCGATAAACACTTTGTTTGAATATGTGTTCTACAAGTGTCGATCTCAATTAAACCATTCTACAAATATTCTAAGCCATTATCCAATTGTAAATGTTATTCAACCATTCAAA